TTCACAAATTGAATAGGCCACCAGCTGTTGGGCTATGACACTGCTTGTTTTTGTTGGCCTCATGATTTATATCCCACCATTTAATAGTTTTCTTTAATTTTTACAGTTTGAAGTGAGATATTTGTGAATTAATAGACATATGATCATTTCTCAAAAAAGAATTGTATTTCTAAATGATATATGCAACTTATTTTCTTGTGCTTGTATACCTATATAGTATATTTAAATAACTTATTATATGAATATCAAACAAAGCAAAACAAGAGCAGACATTTACATTTTTATATCAACAATTCAATTGATTTATGCTTATATGAAAGTCTATACTTATCTCACATAAAAACACAGTTTCATCATTCAACATGTTCAAGAGGAACACCCATCCGTCCACTCATTCCAAATGTTTATACAGTAAGTTCAGTAAATAAAAACTAAGAACGATAAATTATTTAGATTTATAATAAGTACTTAATATTTCCTATAGAATAAAAGTTCTGGCATTTTACTAAAATATCACAGTAAAATTTTTACTATATCACAAATATTTTATGTGGCTGTATAACAAACAGGTACTAAATTTTAAGCTTCAGAAAAAAAACCATATCAAATCTTTATTACCTTGCTCTAAAGAAAAGAAGTTTTGGAAAGGATTTGTTAAAGGTGTAATACCACCATTGATTTTCCCCTATTAGTCTTTGTTAAATTTGCACTTTTCAAAAAATTGTGCAGAATTTATCTTTGTTTCAAATAAAGAAATACTTGGCATGAGTAAAGTTTGATCCTGTCCAGTACTATAGAAAAAATTTCACATAACATTTCATTGCATATAAGAAAATAACCATCACTGGAAGTTAACCAATCAAATTTTCCCCCTTTTTTAACCTGTATACAAGCTTTAGTAACCATGTAACCTCAAGTTTCCAAAATATTCTATAGAAACCCCAAATAAAAAAATAATGGTGCTTTGAAATACCCAAGATATATGTTTATGACCCAGAAATGTTTTACTGCAATGAAATGTAGGATCAATTACCTAAAACTGTCAAATTCAAGGGAATATTTTTTTTCGACCTATTTTCGTATGCAACCGGATGTGACGTACTATGATTTGGTGGTATTACACCTAAAGAAGACTTTTTTGTTAAATAAACTGAATGTGACTTTTTTCCTTTGTTATACTGGTTATTTCAAGCATTCCTGTCAAGTTTTGTCATAATCAGTTCAATAGTTTGAGAAAAATCTAGTATAATGTAAGACGACATCTGCAGCGATTCGAGCTAAATTTCTTCGAAAAATCCAAACCAAGCCGCATCATGATAGAATATAGTGTGGACCAATAAATGATCAAATATTTATCTCATCTGCCTACAAACAGTTGAATATGATACAAAAGATGACTTTAGGATGATAAATACTACCAATGGACCTCTTTGTCTTCCTTATAAGGTCTCTTTTGGTCCATTTATACCTCTCATTTCCTCAAAATTTCTACTTTATAGGCCAATAAATAAAAATTTTGGGGTAACTTTCACTCATTTATGATAGAAATGTTATAATAAATGATAAATTGAAGTATTCAAGCTGAATGAACTATCCGTAAAAAAGGTTTACTGTCTCCAAGGAGGTTTCAATAAGTCCTTACGTAAAACTTAAATTTACGCCGCGTTCCAGAGAGGGACATAAAAAGCTTCTCTTTTGGTGAAAAATTTGTTGTTACTGCTTTAAAAATAATTTCATTTACTTAAAACTATATATTTATTAAAGTATTTCTTAGGAAAAAATTTCTAGTATAGCAGAATATAAGAAAAAAGGAGAAAAAGCTCCCCAAAACTCTAAGTATGGCTTATTCTGTCAACTAATATTCATGGTAAAGTCCTATTTCAAGGAAATTTTCTCATAAAATGTGTTTTGGAGACTCAATCCACTCAGAATATTTCATTATTAGTAATATTTCACTTAAATAGCAAGAAATTTTAACACATGAGAGTACTCACAAGGTCAAAGGTGCATGTACAGCTTCCTATATTAGGTGTAATACCACCATTGATTTTCCCCAATTAGTCTTTGTTAAATTTGCACTTTTCAAAAAATTGTGCAGAATTTATCTTTGTTTCACATAAAGAAATACTTGGCATGAGTAAAGTTTGATCCTGTCCAGTACTATAGAAAAAATTTCACATAACATTTCATTGCATATAAGAAAATAACCATCACTGGAAGTTAACCAATCAAATTTTCCCCCTTTTTTAACCTGTATACAAGCTTTAGTAACCATGTAACCTCAAGTTTCCAAAATATTCTATAGAAACCCCAAATAAAAAAATAATGGTGCTTTGAAATACCCAAGATATATGTTTATGACCCAGAAATGTTTTACTGCAATGAAATGTAGGATCAATTACCTACAACTGTCAAATTCAAGGGAATATTTTTTTTCGACCTATTTTCGTATGCAACCGGATGTGACGTACTATGATTTGGTGGTATTACACCTAAAACTAATAGAAAAATGGTCAAGATATATGTCCTTCCTAGCAAGTTGTCCAGTTGTCCATGGTTAAACATTATCCTTATAACCGTTTGAATTAAAAACATAATAAAAGTGTTCATTATTTTGATATACAGTGTAAATACGTGTAGTCAACTATAAGTTATAAATACACAGGCATGAAAAATAAGTACACCTTTATAAGGATTTCATCACTGCATGGTCGTATTGTAGAACCCTTTCTTTTAAATTCATACATTTTAACTGTCTTATTCAAAAGACCACATTTAAAAAATACTACATAATGAACAACTAAGAAGGTAAAGGGAACAAAATGTTACCAAACAAGTGGTTACACGAATGGATAATGTAATCTGATGTTCAGTAGTTGTCGTTTGTTGATGTAGTTCATAAGTGCTTCTCGTTTCTCGTTTTTTATATATTAAACCGTTGGTTTTCCCGTTTGAATGGTTTTACACTAGTAATTTTGGGACCCTTTATAGCTTGCTGTTCGGTGTGAGCCAAGGCTCCGTGTTGAAGACCGTACTTTGACCTATAATGGTTTACTTTTATAAATTTTGACTTGGATGGAGAGTTGTCTCATTGGCACTCATACCACATCTTCTTATATCTATATATTATATACTATTGAAACTGCGATAATCATTAGTTTGCAAGTATTTTCTTGCTCGTATGCTTGAGATCCTGGTATAAAAATCAATTGATACAATGTAGATACGTATTCAAGTGTGTGATTGAGCCTTGTTTTTTTCTATTAGGTTTAACATCAACTTGTGTGTATTTTGAATAATTCAAAATCAAATTATGGACACAGAAATAGAAATGAAAGGTAGGTACAGTGCATCAGATGCCTGTAACGTTTTTCCTGAAAGAGACTTTAACATGTGAAAATATGTTAATTTCGTAAAATACTGGACTATTGTTTAGTTATGATTAATTAACGATCTTGCTACTTTCGCAATCTCTTTTTTTCTAAGTATTTAAAGGAAAATGTTAAAGTCGAAAAAAGCTATTTTTTCACTTTTAAAATGTTCAGATACTGTAAGTAAGGAAAGTAGAGATGAATTTCTAAGTCTAGAAATTCAAATTGGTCTTCATATTTTGACAACTTCTTCGCTGTATGATCCCTAAAAGTATCCCAGGATAAAGATATTTAATTCATGTTTTACAAAAGTGGTACAACCCCGCAAGTGTCTCCCGTATGGCTGTGCAAGAAGTATAAATACGCAGCCACGTCCAGTCTGAATGGGAAGTATATTCCGATGTCTCTTGTGAGGGAAGTGCTATGCCTATTGTACGTTAGAGTTTCGTGCAACAACAATAACTCTTTCATAGGACCATAGGAGGCATGTTGCTATTTTCATTTCTATATGCAACTATCCAATATTCCTTCTTTTTCAAGTGATAAAGCAAATTTCCTTGTCCATATTATTGTAAATTATTAAAATCTTCATACATTTTCCCGTCGAAACAATTTGTTTTATAACAGGAAAATAGTTTTTGAACGTCCTACATTATATATACGTAGCATTGTAATGATCAGGATCAAAAACAACAAATGATGAATACAGAGGTTTGAGCTGTCATGAAAGTGATATTAATGTCTCTTTTATCAATATATTCAAAGGTAATAGCTTTAAGCATCAAAAAGATAAGAAAAACCCATTGAAGAAGCAGAGTTTTCATTTCAATCATTAATACTGGAACATATTAAGATATCAACAAGTGAGCAACTAATTTTCATATGTTTAACATACTAGTAATAAAAATAAATTAATGTAATGACAAAAATACTTATTTCATAAGCAACAAAATGAAACAAAAAAAAGGACAAAAACATTACCACACAGATCAGTTCTTTGTTCAGCAAAACATCACGTACACTCCAACAAATGTTTTGGAGGACAAAAACATAAAAAAAGTTAGTGAGCATCAAGCCCAAATAAAATAAAACAGAATAGCCAAAATTATTGGCTAAACTTTGCCTGAAGGAGTTTTACTTGAGTACAGTTGCATTATTTGTTAACTGTAATCGTAGTTTAAAGGCTGAAGAACTGGCTACTGGTTCTGTAATCCTAATTTTATAAAAAAAAAATCTTTCTAAATCCATAATATTATGTTCATTTAAAATCATTATGCCATTTCAGTCACCATAACTTTTTATCAATTCATATTACATGATGGCTGCGGAACCGTAGCTCATAGGTCCTTATGGTATTTGTTAACAATTTGCTACCATCTATGGTCCGCAAATTGTCAAAAAATATCATAAGGACCTATGAGATACAGTTCCGCAGCTAATGAAATGCTGAGCAAAATAACTTGATATTAACATACACAATAAAATATTGCAGTTTAGGATTTCTAGAGAGTTCTGAGATTTCTCTATGATCTATCTCTGAGATTTCTCTAAGATCTATAAGATCTAATATATATTGAACACCAAACGATACATAAATACCAACTTAATAAAAAAAAAAACTAGTTTGTAATAAAGATCAAGATGGTGAACTTGGCAGTGTGTTAATGTGAACATCATTAAAATCACCTTTCTGGTAAATAATGTAAACATGTTTATCATCTGAGGTTCTTTGCACATTCTGTGGTTGTTCTGCAGTCAGCAAACCTACAATAAGAACAGATATTCCTAAATGATGGTTCTTAATTGGGAACCTTACAAATTATAAAGTTATGGTTTACAACTCATACTAGAATACTGATTCGCTACCAGCATAATATCGAATAATCAATAATTCATTATCAGAAATTTCAAGTATGCAGTTTTGTATTTAACATTTAAAAATACCCAAACTGACTAAGACTCATAAACATAAACATTGTCTAACAATATATAATGCAAACAGTGTATTAACTCATCAAAGATTTAATCTAAAGTACAGACTCGCGTTTGTCTAAATAAGACTCGTCAGTGATGCTCAAATCAAAACAGTTGGAAGGTCAAATGAAATACGAAGTTGAAAAGCATAATAAACCGAAAATTTCGAAACAAATTGTGCCATATATGACTAAGGCAATCTATTCCTGGGGGTTGGAAAACCTTTGTGTTGCGAATAATTTTTATAAACAGTATATTGACAGTGTATGTTGTCCTTTGTAGAGATGATAACTGTAACGAGTATTGCATGATAGCACATTTGACCATATTCTGCACGATAGCACATTTGACCATATTCTGCATGATAGCCCATTTGACCATATTCTGCATGATAGCCCATTTGACCATATTCTGCATGTTAGCATAATTTCACCATTTTCTGCATGATAGCACAGTTTACCATATTCTGCATGATAGCACATGTTTACCATATTTTGCATGATAGCACATTTGACCATATCCTGCATGTTAGCATAATTTCACCATTTTCTGCATGATAGCACATTTTACTATATATTGCATGATAGTACATTTGACCATATTCTGCGTGATAGCAAATCTGACCATATTTTGCATGATAGCACACCTGACCATATTCTGCATGATACAACTGTAGCACATTTTACAATATATTGCATGATAGCACATTTTACCATATATTACATGATAGCACATTTTACCATATTCTGCATTAGAGCACATTTTACCATATATTGCATGATAGCACATTTTACCATATATTACATGATAGCACATTTGACCATATTCTGCATGCATATGATAGCACAGTTTACCATATTCTGCATGATAGCACAGTTTACCATATTCTGCATGATAGCACATGTTTACCATATTTTGCATGATAGCACATTTGACCATATTCTGCATGTTAGCATAATTTCACCATTTTCTGCATGATAGCACATTTTACTATATATTGCATGATAGCACATTTTACTATATATTGCATGATAGCACATTTTACTATATATTGCATGATAGTACATTTGACCATATTCTGCGTGATAGCAAATCTGACCATATTTTGCATGATAGCACACCTGACCATATTCTGCATGATACAACTGTAGCACATTTTACAATATATTGCATGATAGCACATTTTACCATATATTGCATGATAGCACATTTTACTATATATTGCATGATAGTACATTTGACCATATTCTGCGTGATAGCAAATCTGACCATATTTTGCATGATAGCACACCTGACCATATTCTGCATGATACAACTGTAGCACATTTTACAATATATTGCATGATAGCACATTTTACCATATATTACATGATAGCACATTTTACCATATTCTGCATTAGAGCACATTTTACCATATATTGCATGATAGCACATTTTACCATATATTACATGATAGCACATTTGACCATATTCTGCATTATAGCACATTTTACCATATACTGCATGATAGCACATTCAGTCAATATTTTTCACTTACCATCACACTCAAGTTGTGGGTCCTCATTTTGTTCAATGTCTGCACTTTCTGAAACTGTATTGAAAATACTATTACGATAGTAATAATTACTTTTTAATAATATTTGTAATAATGTTTTATTCAGAAATGTTAAGAAAAAGTAGTGAACTACAAATTATAAATAACCAATGGTAAGTTATGAAAGTATTTCAACCTTTTTTTTGGTAGTACCTGTTCATCATGTTTTATTAGAGAACTTTGGATATCTAACATTTATGTTATATACGAATGCAAGCAGTAATTACCTCAATCTACGCATTAGATTGTATTATAATACATATATTATAAGAAGAAAGACAACTCGGATTGTCGATGTCAAATACCATGTATACGTTATAAAACAGTAAATGACTTATTAGTAATAATGTTGTCTTTTGTCGATTATGGTGTACAATGTATTTTGTGATGTTGCTTGTGTGTGTTTTTTTCTGATTATATTGATTTGGACAAAGTACTTTTGATTTTTTTTTCTATGCCACTTTGAACCTCTAAAGTGTTAGAATAAATAACTGACGTACCTTGAACAGTCACTAATTCTCCAAAGAATATGTAAATGTCCTTAATGCATTAGTCAAAAGTTGTTATTTGTTAACTTACTTCAACAATTAACGAAAAGATTTAAAGAACGTGTAAATTTCTCTAATGCATAACTCAAAAAATGCTATATGCCGACTTTATTCAACAACTTACGTAAAGCATCCACAGCAGTGATTGTAGAACCATCATTTAGTTGTCCTGGTTGATTATCATTCTTGTTCACAGATGATATAGAGGTAATCGTAGCAGCAGAGGTTAAGGCTGATACGTCATGAAAGACATTACTACAACACGATTGATGATCGATGAAACGGTAGCCCATGAAGATAATACATGATAATGCAGAGAAAATGGCAATGACCAATATGACAACAAGTATGATTTGAGATGGTTCGACCTGTCCATGACCAACGATTGCCGCTAACTTTGTTGTTCCTAGAGTTGAACTGAGCTTTTGGGTAACTGTCGTTGTTTCAAATTTCACTAAAATTTAAAAAAAACATCAACTAGTCAGAAATATTTTGGGCATTTCATATAACGAAGGGTATATTGTAAAGTGTCGACATTTAGCATTTTAAGAATGATCGGTATCTTCAAATGAACTTCTAAGAATTGTCAAATAGAAATCTACCTAGTTGCTAAATACACTAAATAGTGCAATTTGCTGTATTTACTATAACTGCCATTACTTAAACAAACATTCAACTTGAAATATAAATAAAATATATCCTTAAATGTGTAAACATGATTTGAAAGTTTTTTCAACAAAAGAAATGTCTTACCACACGCAGCATTTTCCATCCAAGGTTTTTTGTACCTGAAGTAGAAAAATATATCACGTTCATCATACAATTGAAACATACGGTATAACCATTAGATGGTTACTACAAAAGTTGTAAAAGTTGTCAAAAATATCAAATCATACTTTTACATGCTAAATAGAAAGATAAATGCTACAAAATGATCGGTTAAAACAGTAATGAATGAATTATTTTATGAAATGCCTTTGAAAGGGTACAAACTGTATGAATACGAATATACTGATTTAAACTAAATAATGAAGTTAAATGAAAGACAGAGGATTTTACTTAAGAAAACAACCTTACCCAACAAGACAGTCACCACATTCTGAATCTGTGTCTTGTGTACAGTTAGTTTTGAACTGTTTATTCTGTCCATGACAATCATGACACTCTGTACACTGGTAATGTGTAAAGGCACTAGCAAAGTATCCAGGATCACATATACATGGATAACAATCAAATGCTCCATGAAATTCATCAGTTTGTATTTCCTGTGATAATAATATTTTGTAATCACGAATTTAGTACCCGTTTGCATTAAAGTCAGTTTAAAGTTAATCAACTTGCATATGATGTAATAAAATGTTGATTCGATAATTGTTTGTGTTTATGTTTCTGCAAAATATGTACTCATAATTAATTTCTCTGTTTATTTTAAACATATTTGAAATATATTACATTTAACTCATGTACAAATGGTCAATTTTATTGCTACTAACCTTGCTTTTATTTAAATGACCATGTGTATTACAGATAGGACACTCACTACATCTGCCAGAATATTTGTTTTTGAACTTCACACCCAGCTTGCAGAAACAAGGATAACAGTCTAATGCACCGAGTTCTTGACTGATTCTGATATTCTGAATGTGTTAAAAAAAGCATGATTAAGGGTCGAGTTAAAATTTGTATAACTTATTGTGTTAAATATTGATATAGATTTTTACTTAATTTAGAGAAACTTTATTTTGATTTATAATGTGTATGATGGAAAAAGTGGAAATATTATTTCAAAATGGTATGTACATGGTACTTTGTATTATTCATATCTTTGTTAAGCTGTTTAATTAAAAAAAAAGGCACGTTAGTTTTCCATAAAGGCAAATCGTAGCAGCTTTGTATATTATTAACTTATTTCATTCAAGTATTAAACATTTGACCCTATAACTACTAACTTTACATGAGTATACAACTTACAAACTGCAAATAATTGGTAGCCTTTCTACAACGTGGACATCTTCGACATTTTTCTTGATCAGTGTCGTAGTACTGTATGCCATTGACACATTCAGATGAACCTACACTCTCAACGATCAGTGTACTGTTTACTTCTGTAGAAATCCTTGAAGCTACCAAATGCAGTATATGCAGAATATATACTGGTAGTAAAAATAATTTTACCATCTAACTTTATCCAGTGTATCTAAAATTGGTAGTACAAAGTAGTTTGTAGTATTCTTTTTCTTGAATGGATAATAATTTTGTTTTACTTTTTGTCTTTTGTTTGGTTTTCTTTCTTTCCGTTTTCCCCATAACCAAATTGAGTACTTCTTTTGTAGGAACAAGAGATAAGGAAGTATTTAAGTGATGTGTTCAATTGGCAAATTTTGATCAAATGATTCTTATCGCTTCGGACGCATGAAATTTATAAACTGTTGTTTTATTTTTTTATTTTCTATAAAAGTTTAAGGCTTCCAAGAGGGGAAATCGAAATCTCTTATCAAAGAAGAAAAAACCACAAGAAGTCAAAAAGAGTTAAGAAAGCCCTATATAAGAAACTATAGATTGAGCAACTCAACGCCACAAAAACACCGCGAGGGATAAAATCTGCTAATCTGGAAAAGTAAGCATTTCCCGATTCATCAGTGGATTATGTTGATCATGACAAGTACAAACCTGGTTGGTATTTTGTTTTTTTCTTAACAAAATATTTGCATTTATTTTTATCTCTGTTATTCCCCAATACTCATCACGACATTATGTGTTGATAGAGGCAATAGTAAATCACCGATGTTGAAATCTCATCAATTCGTTTGAACATGTTGAAGATACAAATTAAGATAAAAATAAACAAAAACTGAGGGGATCAACTGAACTGCAATGTGCATAATAAAAGTTTGTTTTTTCAGTAAATCTATGTTTTGAAATATGTGTTATTTACATTTATTGTCATTATCTTTATACTTAAATTGAAATCCTTAAATATTTCAAAAGAATTTACTTTAACTTTATTTGTCCGGCCTTGTGTTTCTACAAAATTTCTAAATTGTGTATTGCCTGGGTGTCCTCGTTGAAGTCCGTGTTTTTAAAAATCAGCTGTTATAATCACGTGTGCTGTTTGTACTTTGAAATATACAAGTGCTCTCGTTGAAGTCCGCGTTCAAGAAACAATAACAAAGATGGCGACCTCCATGCACCTAAAAATTTCTTCTTACCCCAAACCGTTTAAGGTGAATATCACCACATAATACAATAGTTACAGGCATGCAGACTCATAAATATGGGCGCTAGGTAAGAATAACTTGGCAACATTCCAACAACAACTCTTTGTTTGACCGCAATTGGACAAAATTTGTAAATTATTGTAAACAATTTCTATTTTGCATACCGTGCATTAGAATTATATACAAATCCGGCAGTAGTCTCATTTGATTAAATATTTCAATAAAAACCTCTTTACAGTGAAGGATAAATGTAATCCGGGAACGCATGTACATCCATGCCCAGGGTGTGTTTTGTTATTTTGTTTAATCATTTTTCCCTTTTCATTCTCTTACATGAGACAAAATTACATATACTGTAGTTTTCATAATTCTCAAGCTAAAAAGAAAAGAACCGGAGAGCATAGTATGACTTTGTTGTCCTTTATATTGAATGGCAGCACAGGGAATCACCTCTGTGGGGGTCAATTTAGGGGGTTTATTTATTTCAAAAATATTTTTCTTCACTTATTACATCTTTGTATGCCTTAGATTTGTTGTGTTTGGGTTGAACTTGTCAGTGTCAGGGAATAGGGATAAGAAAACTATTTTTTTTCATGTTTCACATCTTGATTATGTCTATGAATTTGATATAGTGATTAAACTTGCCTTTGTATCTTTAATTGACAATTATTATTTATTTAAGCAATTGATTTAATTGATTACATATACATGTATACATGCATATATGCAACTTAGTTTAAAAATTTTTGTACTATGGCAGTTACTATAAGAGCTCTTAATTGCAGGGGACTGTCAGAAGAAGTAAAACGAAGAGATATTTTTGATAGATGTAATAAAAAATATGATATAACTATTTTATGCGATACACATTGCACAAAAGAAAGAGAAAATAAATGGAGAAATGAATGGGGATACCAAGCCTATTTTAGCTCGTTTACCGGACACAGCAGGGGAGTTGCTATACTTCTAAATAATAAATTCAAAGTTATTGTTCATAAAGAATACAAACATAAAGAGGGAAACTATCTAATTTTGGATATGACCATTCATGAGTATCGAATAACTTTAGCTGGTATATATGGCCCAAATAATGATAATCCAGGTTTTTTCTCAGAAGTACAGGAGGTAATCTCAAATATTCAAAATTCTTCAATCATTATAGCGGGAGACTGGAATGTAGTTCAAAATTATGAAATTGTTACAATTAATTATAAAACAAAACATAATGTCAAAGTGCACTCTAAACTTATAGAAATAAAGAACTCCTTAGACTTGGTGGATGTTTGGAAAGCAAATAACCCAGACAAGAAAAGATGTACATGGAGAGGCCCGGAACATAAACAAAGTCGTTTAGACTATTTTTTTATATCCACTGATTTTGAATCCTTAGTAAATAAATCTGATATAGATATTAGCTATCGTTCTGACCATTCTCCTGTTTCTCTCAGTTTAAAATTTTATAACCAAGAAAGGGGGAGGGGTACTTGGAAATTCAATAATAGCTTACTACATGATACTTATTATGTGGCTGAGATTAAAAAGTGTATATCAGACACTGTTAATCAATATAACCTATCAAATACAGATACGGGGGAAGAAACAGAATTATCTGTAGACCCCCATATATTTTGGGAGTTATTAAAATGTACAATAAGAGGGAAAACTATCTCTTATACTTCATATTTAAAAAAAAGTCAAAGGGAAGAATCTGAACTTGAACAACAATTAAACATTTTACAAAATAGATATGACCTACACCCAGATCAGGAACTAAAAACTGAAATTCAAAACATAGAGGAGAGCTTAAAAACATTAAGAGAAAAAAAAATAAATTGTATAATTGCAAGGGCAAAAACAAAATGGGAAGCAGAAGGAGAAAAATGTACAAACTACTTTTGTAATTTAGAAAAAAGACATTATAATGTAAAAATTATTCCTAAAGTTATCAACGAAAATGGAGATGAAATCTTTGATCAATTCAAAATATTGGAAGAACAGAGAAAATTCTATAAAAATTTGTACTCATCTAAAAATGCATTTTGTAAAATGGAACATGAAAATATGTTTTTCAACAAAAATAACTCTTTTATCAATTGTCTATCGGAAGAACAAATGTTAGAAGCTGAGGGAAAATTATCAACTCAAGAATGTCTGAATGCTTTAAAAAACATGAAAAATAAAAAATCACCAGGGGTAGATGGGTACACAGCAGAGTTTTATAAATTTATCTGGAATGACCTTAAGTTCTATTTACTTAATTCCTTTAATTATAGCTTTGAAGAAGGCTCTTTATCAATTTCGCAAAGACAAGGCATTGTTACATGCATCCAAAAAGAAGGGAAATCTAAGTTTTATTTAAAAAACTGGCTTCCTATCACCCTTTTAAATGTTGATATGAAAATATGTTCCGCATCTATTGCAAATAGAATTAAACCCTTGCTCAAACATATTATTAGTGAAACACAGTTAGGATTTATTAAATGTAGATACATTGGGGAATGTACAAGACTTATTTTTGACTTAATAGAAAGAACTGAAGAAGAAAATATACCTGGACTTTTACTCCTTTTAGATTTTGAAAAAGCATTTGATACGCTTGAATGGTCATTAATAAATAAAGCACTTGAATTCTTAGGTTTTGGTCCTGATTTCTGTAATTGGGTAAAATCTTTATATTTCAATATCGAAAGTTGTATCATAAATAATGGTCATTGCTCTAGCTTCTTTAATATAGAAAGAGGGGTTCGTCAAGGGGATCCTTTATCCCCTCACCTTTTTATACTGGCTTTGGAACTGATGAGTGCAGCAATGAAAAATAACCCAGATATTAATGGTATTAAGATAGACAACTCTGAATATTTGCTTAGTCAATATGCAGATGACTCAACCTTAACTTTAGATGATGATGAAAAGTCGTTAGAACAATCTCTATATATTTTAGAAAAGTTCTCTGAGTGTGCTGGTTTACGAGCAAACTTAGAAAAAAGCAGAAGCCATTTGGATTGGGTCAAAAGCACATTCAAAAGAAATATTTCACCAAGGAGAAAGATTAAACTGGAATCAGACAGGGAAATTTAAACTCTTAGGTATAAACTATGATCTTTTTGCTGTCGACAAGACTGCCTATAATTTTGAAGAGAAAATTGAAAAGATAAATGCAGTATTAAACACTTGGATTTACCAAGATCTTTCATACCTAGGAAAAATTACAGTCATAAAGTCTTTAGCATTGCCAATTCTCATTCAGTCATTAACAATATTGCCAAATCCCTCTTTTGAAAATTTTAAGAAAATTGAAAATATTTTTTTAAAGTTTCTATGGAATGGTAAACCAGATAAAATCAAAAGAAATGTTCTAATTGGATCATATGATACTGGTGGGCTAAAGATGCCTCATATTGAATCCTTCTGTTATGCACTGAAAATGACATGGATCTATAAATTATTGGACCCTTTCAATCTTTCTCCTTTGAAAATTCTTTTCAATGATAAATATAGAAAATATGGTGCAGATAAAATATGGATGATGAATAAGGATAGTATTAAACAAATTTCAATATATTTTAATAGATTTTGGAAGGACATCCTTCTTAATTGGGCCAAACTGAGGAATGCTGCCCATGACCAAAATGACTTTATAGGCGAACCTGTTTGGTTTAATGCACTTTTAAAAATTGATGATAAAACTATTTTCTATGAAAAATGGTGTGCGGCAGGAATATTTTTTGTCAATGATTTACTGAATGAGAACAATGAATTTCTCTCTTTTAATCAATTTAAAGAAACATACGATATTAATACAAATTTTCTTCAATTCTATGGTATATATCATATGATCCCAAGTAGTTAGAAGGACCACATCAAAAACTGTGAAAAGAAAATCAACATTACTTGCGATAATTTAGACTATTTAAAAACAAATCAGAAATCATGCCCATATTTTTATAAATTATTTGTGTCTACTTATCATGAAAACCCCATAAAATTACAAAATAAATGGAAAGAAATTTTGCATATGGAAATAGGTCACTGGGATCTTTTCTATATGCATCCTTTCAAGTGTTCTTTGAGTAATAAACTGATCATTTTTCAATACAAAATTCTGCACAGATTTTTATGCACAAATGATCTGCTATACAAGTGTAAACTTAAAGAAACGCACCTATGCAGTTTTTGCAATGAAACAAAAGAGACAATAGAACATATTTTTTGGGAATGTTACATTTTTGGCTTCAACTAGTTGATACATTACATTCAGATAGCAATTATGAGCTTCTAATATCAAAACAAAACATCCTCTTGGGATCAGATATTATAGATATCTCTGGAAATTTGTTCACTGTTCTGATGAAGTACTATATTTATTCTTGTAGATTGAGCTCACTGTTACCTTGTGTAAAGATTGCACTAAAGAAATTGAAAAATTATTAATAATTGAAAAACTTTCTTCCACCTTTCACAGTTCTCCTGCAATAGGTGAAAAAATAGAAAAAAAAATGGGAACCATTTCAACAATTAATTTTATGATACAAGAAAGATAACTCATACTTAACTGAAAATAAATGTGTAACACAACTGGATGCACATCACAATTGGACAGTGGTTAGTGTGCATCCTATAGATATTATATATATGTATGTAAGAATTAAATGTGTGTTACTATGTTATGATAATAAGAGTTAAAATACTGTTTTTTATATGATTTCCAGATATTGTCGGGAAGAGAAAATAACAGCAAAATACAAATGTATGTCATTATATATATAATTTTCTTTATGAATACATGTACGAATAGAATAACTATTTTGCATCAATAATAATAATAATCTTTTAATATCAATTTAATTATATATGAATATAAGTTAATGATTTTTTTTTGTATGGGGAGGGGGATAACATAAGCGCTGACACTGGCAGGTCAAAACAAATAAACATGTATTGTATTCTTCTTTGATAGAAAAAATGCATATAATTATTGTATGAGATGAAGAAATACAAAATAAAGAATTATAAACAAAAACAATAATGAACTAAAAAAGGAGCGAGACCCATAAGATTTTCCTGCTGAGCACGCATCACCCGCCATGCGAATTCAAATTTGGTCAAAATGTCATAATCTGGAATAAGACACAATTGATAAATTTACATATCTGACGATTTTCTTGTATTCAAAGATCTAAGACTGCCAAAACATGTCGGTATGGAGTTGAGACACACATATATAGCCTGTTTCAAAAGTTTTATTTACAATTCTATTTTTTTTTTCGAATGGTTTTGGCACACGGTGTCTTGGTAAAACTGGAGATGGGAAGCGCTTTAGAGAAAAAGGCATTTGGCGTCAGTTCAGCAGAATAACAACGCTATTTACTGGAATATCAAGAATTGGAATCTTTTCATACTTTATAATTAATTTTTACTGAACCGAGTGATTAGTTTTCCTTTCAACTGCTTGTGTATATATATATATATATATATATATATATATAAGTGCCTATAAATAGCAGCACATGACATACAAATCTATGGGAGTGTGGATTAATCAGTACAGAGATTAATTCAATTACACAAATAAAATTATAGATTCAAGTGCAACATATACATTGAGCTGCAAAAGTTTCTTATCATCTACATCCGATTTCACCTGGATAGATGCACGCTTGATAAAGCTAGTTAGTCTAGCGAAATATTGCGTTTATTTTCATCATTTTGTAAATATTTTAAACATTCTTATATTTACATACTAAATAGTGTGTTAAAATTACATTGTTAGGCAATCTATATATATATATATATATATATATAAACCAACACGCGCATATGACTGAATCAATTATTAATTGTGTACTTAGGTCAGGTTTAGGAATTTGGTGTCATATGTTCGGACTCCTTGGTTTGTTTCCTACGATACAGGGTAAAATATTTTGCTCCATAGCACCCATTTTTCTTTTCAAATAAGACTTCAATGGCTCATAAAAGATCATTTACCAAAATTTAAGTAGATTTTAGATCTCTTTTCTTTCGATTTGAGACCCAAATAATACCAATACAACTATAAGGTAAAAGTCTGAGTCAGCTTTTTCCCGCCATTTAAAAAAAAAATAAATATATCTCGAAAGGGAGCTCCATAACCAATCAATATCTGTTTAGCTTATTTTGTTATTTAACTAATGCCTTATTCGATTTAAAGTATCAAATTTAAATTCTAGATTTTTTTAATTTCACCTGATTTCAACCTTAATTCCGTTTTTTACGATTTGAGACATGAGCATCTACGATAAATGTCGTCAGTATTTTTCATTCATAAATGAACAATTTGGAGTAGACGTCATGCTCTAGTAACTACAGACATAAATAAAGTCGTATCTATTATAAACATATCACATGACTTGCAATTTTCCTGGTTTAACTAGTAAACTCCATAACAAATATCAGTCGATGAAAAAAATATCTATAAGTCCGATTTGCGTAAAATGTCACGTGGATATTTTGATTGTAAACAAACGAATTTCTCTTATGATCCAAGGATGAAATATATTATAAGAATAATTATTTAAATCGAAAACATATTGTTATCAAGATATAAAAAGTAACTATATTGAAATTATAATCAATTTCAAAATGAAATGTCTCTTTATTATATTGAACTCAAATAAGAACATTCACTAAAAGATGAAGTACGTGATCGAATGACCTACATTCATAACATTTATCCTGTTGCTTGTGGATTTTGTGGAAATATTCATTACCCTTACATGTAAAAATCGTCTGTAATGATATATCTAATTCTTTTAGAAAAAATGTTCATTTTTATTCATAGTAATTAAGACATCTTACCTAATATCTCCTGAAGAAAAATAGACGACCACATTCAATGTGCCATTGAACCTTACTCATGTGATCCCAAGGTTTTGTGATCACTGTAGACACAACGCTAATCGAACAAGTATCCACTGTTGTACATAATCGGCCATCAAAGCATTAGTTATTAATGATAAGTTTATACGTGTTCATGTTCTGAAAAGCATATGTTTTTTTTTAAATTCATTTACTTGGAACATATAAACAAGAAAGATACCATTCGGAAATAAAAATATTGTAACTCGAAGGATCCACAGACAACACAATTGCTTAAAATAAGCAAAATTACGAAAGACAAATGATACTCGGGTACGCGAAAGATGAGCAATACGAAACCCATAAGGTGCTTCGGTAGGGTATGCAGTAACAGTTTGTGTTGCAGTGGTGGCACCCTTCAGCTTCGTGTTTAAATCGTGCATAACAAATTCAGTGATGATATAAGCAGATGAGCCGTTTTCGTTGATCAAGGAGGGATGGCAGATGGGATTGTGTCTACGAAAAAGTGAGCATATTCGTTGTAATCTGTGACAGATATATACAGGTCAATCAAGACTAAGTGATAAGACTGTAAACTTTCAAATATCATACATCACTTCAGTTTCATTTTTATAACCCTTTCAGTACATGTTTTTATAATGAAGAGTCAATCATCTATCAAAAAAGTTCTGATAGTAAATACAGTCATTCTAATTTAAGTCATTTCTGATAGTAAATACAGCCATTCTAATCTAACTGGTAGATGTACACTCGAGGCTATGTGAATCCTATTACAAGAAAGAAGTCGTCAAAAATATACAAACCTTTAATTTGTAAAATTGAAGTTATAGGCTTTAATTGTCCGGCGATATTCAATATTTCTTACTCTTGAAAAGACATATTTTACCTATGTCGGACCAATTCTATATATGTGTCCGGGTGAAGTCAGTTACAGATACATGTGTAATATACTTGTACACATGCTTTAAAGATTACTTATAAAGACAGGTTAGCTAAGATCGTTACTGGTTGGATAAGGCCTATGTCTATCGAAAGATTATACGCCGAAATAGAACGGAAAAGTCTTCATGAGAAAATTGAAACTTTAAGTTTCTACAATAATTCAAAAAAATTTTGTTTCGTACATTTCGTTTGAATATTTTATGGTTACAAAGAAATACCTAATTTCTTTATAAAAAAAATAGAATAACAAAAATATCGAACTCCGAGGAAAATTCAAAACGGAAAGTCCCTAATCAAATGGCAAAATCAAAAGCTCAAACACATCAAACAAAGGATAACAACTGTCATATTCCTGACTTGGTACAGGCATTTTCTGATATTGAAAACGGTGAATTAAACCTGGTTTTATAGCTTGCTAAACTTCTCACTTGTGTGACAGTCGCATAAAATTCCATCATATTGACAACAACGTGTGAATAAAAGTTCAAAAGGGATACACAATACCTTATATCTTACGGACGACAATTAAACCCATCAGGTGTATTCGAGTAAGTTTGTGAGTCAAATACATAAATGTTTGAAGAGCAATATACCTAAACGGGGCTGAACAGAACGACAAAAAAACATGGAGGTTAAAATAAAAATTAACAAACGGTTGCACCCCCACCTTTTCATTAACAATATTATCTAAATTTAAAAATGCATTTTTATACTTCAGAGTCAAAACCATATTCGAAATCAAATAGTTCGTGGATAATCTTTGAAAAATGAAAAACATCCTTCCCTAAAATATGAACAAAAGATATACAAACTCAATGATTCGTTGAAATCGTGCGTATTGCTTGTGTATGACTTTAAGTTAAATCTTAAATGAATGATTTGGGTTATTTTTAAATCAACAGATTTTTTGCAAATTATGTACTGTTTTTAAAAGCTATTCAATCTTATAAAATGTCAGTTTTACTTATTTTTACTTCAGTATCGTCGGATATCTCTCAGTATAAAGACGATTAGTTCATTGGATTTAGTGCGAAATCGTTTTCCCTATTATACACTTGTGCTCTGTGAACTGTTGGAATGTAGGGATTCCCATTGTTTTACAGTATTTAATATTTTTATTTGTGTACACTTTAATTCATCTGCCAAAGTTGTTTTCTACTTTTCTTGTCAATATGAAGATAAATATAATGTTCATTATCATTTAGTTTTACCAAAACGACACAAAGAACTAAACATGCTAACATCGACGAAGACGTGGACACGTTCAAATAATTACGATTGTAAACAGTCTTTCTGAATGAAATTGTCTGTATTCTTGGAACCTGTTTATTGAAGATGTCCTATGATTTGTCCATGATAGACATATCTTCGGAATAGATTAGGATATTAAGACCGATTTATGTCATGTTTGAGCTCGTTCATCCTTCAAAAACTGTCTTTAAACTATCTTTAATAACCGATGTCCTAATTGTTGGCGTAAATTTGAATACAATGCTTCGCCGGGCGCAGCGTGGAACGACCACAGAGGTTTGGATAAGTATGGACACACAATGCAAGCTTGATACAGCTCTGAATTTGGAATGTGTGATTAAATAATTGACACATCATATGTTTCTTACACATAATGGATGTGGTATAAGAACTTAAAAATTTGAAATTGGACATTTACCTTTCAGGTCAATTATCCAAAATTTGTATACAATTCTATCTCGACTCGAACGATTTACAACAAACGGTTTTGGCATATGGTCTCTTATGGACTAAAACATGTTATAAGGTACTGCGTAGACGGTAAGTGCTTTCTAGAAAAATGCATCGGGTATCAGTACACTAGTACTACAATACGCTATTTATTTGAAATACATCTGGCATTAATACAGCAGTACAACAATTTGCTATTTACTGGAATTATCTTTTAAGATATTCATAACTGGAATCTTTTCACACTTTCTTGTTTTTTGATTGAATGATGGATGAGTTTTTCTTTCTCCTGCTTGTGCATGCTTAAACAAACACATGCATATAACAGAAATATGTGATAACTGCACTTAAAGTATATTTTTGTTTTTAGTTTGGTATATCTATAAGAAATCTCGCCAACATTTTATTGTCCCTTAATCAACTATTCAGTGTATAAGTCATGCTCTAGTAAACGCAGATATTTAAATAACATGAATAAAGTCGTAAGCATTGTAATTTTTCATTTACTGGTAGTTCAACTAGTGAACTCCAAAATAATACCAGGTAAAGGAAATATTTAATTTGCATATCAACATGTGATAAAGAATATTTCTTATACTCATTAATTCGTCACGTAAGGCAGAATTGTCAAACAAATACAGTTGTGATAGTGACTATAGAACCATTGTCGAGTAAATATCGAATGTTCGATAAGAACAAAGTTATTAAACATTAGATTAAAAAATTCTCAAGAAATACGATATAAAGTGTTTGTTCAAAAATTAATAAAACTTCTGAAAAAAAGAAATAGTATAGACATTCCTTCATTCATTCATAAATCCAATTTGCATCACATGTCACGTGAATAGTTTGTTTGTAAACAAACGAATGTCACTTATGATCCATACATGAACGATTTTATCATAATATATATCGAATTTATATTGTTATTGAATTGTAAACTAACTGCTAACATATGAACGATTGCCAGACAAACAACAATCAAGCCATATCTCTTTATTTTTATATATATTAAATTCAGGTGTTTAAAAAAATCCACTAAATAAATGTTGTATGTGAATGACCTACATTCTTGACTTTTATCATGTTGATCCTGCTGCTTGTTTTGCGATTTTGTGGAAATTGCCGTCACCCTTACATGTCCAAATCGTCAGTAATGATACATTTAATTATTATGAAACTGTAGTTCATTTTCATTGATAGTAATTAAGACATCTTACCAAATAAAATGAAGAATATCCCCTGAATTAAAAAACAGCGACTACATTGCTTGCTCAAAAGTTTAGGTCAACTGCGATCAATATTGATATCTAGTGAGTGATAACATTTTGTGAGGGAATTCGATGTTTGCAATACCACGGTTCATTTCAACGGACTTAATGACAATACCACTAAACCAATCAGAATGAGATTTTGTGCATTGTTTTCAGAAATTATTTTGTTTTGTATCTATGTATTATTTGTAAAACATTAAATGTTTTAAAAGGTCGAATTTTCTGTATAAAGTCAATAATTATGTAGAATTTTGAATCCCAAACTTTCTATTGCCTTAAATACGCAAATGAAAGATCCGACAACTATACCAATACAGAACGACATGCTTTTGAAATTATAGCAAATATTTTAGTTGACAAATCTTTATTCGTTTTTACAAAAAATGAACTTCAAAATATCTTTCATTTTCTCCCTACCCAGTTTATCCCTATTACTTATTATGATGTAGACCGGTAAATGTTATTGAATCTTACGCAATTTGCTTGGATTAGGTTATCCTTAGTTTACCTTGAAACTGTTTATTTCTTTCATACATGTATATTAATTAAATCAGAAAGTGCATGAATGTGTACAGTAACTTCATTGACCTTCAAACTGGACACTGGACGAGTCGATATTATTTTTTTTATCAATGAAACTAAAGGTATGAAAGGTAAGAATTGCCACTTCTTACATTTTCACAAAATTTTCAACATATAGAGTAGATAAATAATTTTTAATAGCCTATTCCCGAGAAAAAAGAGAAAATTTACATTCGGTCGTTTTATTCCATTATTTTCACCAGATGGTAGAAAAACCACCACGATACCGTAATAACCAAGAACCATCATTACTTGATCTTGTATTAGTTAATGATAAGAAATTTATCCAGAATATTGAATATCAAGACCCGATAGCGCACAGTGACCATAATGTTTTGGTTCTTAACTTTAAATGTTATCTAACATATGAAAATTCTAAAAGTGTAAAGTTTAACTATTTCAAGGCTAATAACGACAAGATAAAAGAACATATAAATGTTAACTGGGAAGAAATCAAGCTGCTAAAGATACAGAAAATATGGTTAGCACGTTCATGGATGAATTGACTGATGCTATGAATTTACATACACCTAAGAAACATATTTCGAAGACTTTTCTGTATCTGTACTTGCAATAAAGTTTTTACCATCTCTTTTTACATGAAGTT